AATCCTCAAGTAATGCTGCATTTCCTCGTGTAATGAAATGTTGATTTGGGTTTCTGGCTCATTTAAGTCCTGTATAATGCTTCAGCTATTGCACTAATAAACTAATAGTGTGCAGTAAATCATCAATTTTCCTGCAATCACTTATTTTATGTTTAACATCTTGTGACCTTATTCTTATAGAGCACCTGAACAAATAATGTGGTGAAAGAATGTGCAAACTAACATTAGGAACCAGCCAAAATAATGTTTAGTGTTCTTGAAAATCTGATTCAGTACAACCGTCTTTCAGTGGTGCTGGATAATCAACTTATTTATATTACTGCAGTCTGTTTATTTTAATTTTAGACTTTAGTTTTACCTGCTTTATCATTAAAAAATTGTAAGTACTCTAGAATGTCTTGAGGATATTCAAAAGGGTGTTTACATCTTAAGATTTATTACTGTATAGTGATCCTTTATTTTTAAATGGGATGTAAAACCTAGTTCTTGGTAAACCAGTGAATGCTTAACCACACGAGTCATCATTTGATAGTCTTGCACCAGGAGACGTGCAGTTTCCTGAAAGTTAAACCAACAATAAACCACTACCACTAAGTTAATTGACTGATCTCTCTCTTATATTATAGTAGTCTTTTCCTCTATCCTTCACTGAGCATGCACTAATTGATATACTGTATATGGCTAATTTAGCACCTCAAATGCGTTACAGTATTGCTATAATTTCGTTGTATGATAAGCCATCAAACCTTCACAGTAGGAATTATTTTAATAAGTCCATCTTTCTGGATGTAGATAGAATAAACCAAATAATTTTAGTTAAATTTGCCTCTGAATAGTAGGACTTTTTTTTTTTTCATGATAAGTTTCATAGAATATCCCTATTCTACAGAGCTGTATGAACCATAGTTAAAAGATGGTTTATATTCTCATTCCTTTGTCATATTTTTTATTAACCAGGCACTTCAGCTGATATACAGTGGTACCTTGACTTACGAGTGCCCCAGCTTACAAGTTTTCTGAGTTAAGAGCCGTCGCTTGGTCAGTTTTTTGCTTTGAGTTGTGAGCCAAAATCCGAGTTGCGAATGAGCTTCAGATATGCCGCCACTCGCAGGAGATACCGAGGAAATATAAAAAACATCGATAATAACCAATGTGTAACATCCTTTCAATTTTGATACCACTGGTAATGTCATCATGCCAGAATGTTCTATAACGTATGCCATAAGTAAAGAGAAACGATTCTGGAACGTGTGATACACATTCAACAGGCTAGCTGGTTGGGTGGCCAGGTGGCTGGCTGGCTGATTGGCTGGCTGATTTGCTTTGGCTGTCTCTATCTTCTGTCTGTCTGTATCTATCTCTCTCTGTCTGTCTATCTCTGTATCTCACAGGTACATGTACACATAAATACGTATAGTTATACATAGTGTAAATTACCTAGGATAACCCAAAAAATCCAAACAAAGTGCTATAATATGCTTGTAGATATAAGGCATAATAAGCATGACTGGCAAGTAATACACATTTTCACTTTTAGGAATCAGACGTGACGACTGCATCGTGTGTAATACCTGTTGGGTCATGAGCGGCTCTTTCTCTGAGGCAGAGACACAAGTAGAAAGACAGGAAGAGAGAAACACAGGCAGACATAAAGACAGATAGAAACAAACAGACACAGACAGATAGACAGAAACAAACATATAGACATGATTATGTGTAACAGTGAAAAATAAAGCCAAGGCAGTGCACGATCATCAAAAGTCACTCCACTGCTGCACTGTCAGGAGTGGAGTGACACTCATCTTACACTGTGCTTCAAGGAGTTTCATATATACTCCAGCATTTCTAAAACATTGCTGGGACCTGGCGAGAAAGGCAAAAATCGTTTCTTATTTATAAATATATTTTTCTTATTTAAAAACCCGTAACAACAAAAAATTGGGGTGTTTTTTTGGGGGGCTGGAACTGATTAAGCATTTCAATTAATTTTAATGGGGAAAATTTATTTGATATACTGTACGAGCAAATTGAGTTACGAACTTGGTCATGGAACGAATTAAACTCGTAAGTCAAGGTACTACTGTATTTGCATGTTGTTTAGCGGTGTACTGTACTAAAAGTAATTTCTTTGAAACATTTTCCCTTATTATTAAATAACGTGATTGAGATATATGTGGAGGCAAAAAATGTTATCTTTGGAGGCAAAGAAGGGAATGTATGAAAGTATAGTAGTACCAACGCTCTTATATGAGTGTGAAGCTTAGGTTGTAAATGCTGCAGCGAGGAGGCGTTTGGAGGCAGTGGAGATGTCCTGTGTCCTGTAATGTATGGTGTAAATATTATGCAGAAAATTCGGAGTGTGGAAATTAGGAAAAGGTGTGGAGTTAATAAAAGTATTAGTCAGAGGGCTGAAGAGGGTTTGTTGAGGTGGTTTGATCATTTAGAAAGAATGGATCAAAGTAGAATGACATGGAGAGCGTATAAATCTGTAGGGGAAGGAAGGCGGGGTAGGGGTTGTCCTTGAAAAGGCTGGAGGGAGGGAGGTAAAGGAGGTGTTGTGGGTGAGGGGTTTGGACTTCCAGCAAGCATGCGTGAGCGTGTTAGATAGGAGTGAATGGTATTTGGGATCTGACGAGCTTTTGGAGAGTGAGCAGGGTAATATTTAGTGAAGGGATTCAGGGAAACCGGTTATTTTATATAACCGGACTTGAGTCCTGGAAATGGGAAGTACAATGCCTGCACTCGAGAGGAGGGGTTTGGGATATTGGCAGTTTGGAGGGATATATTGTGTATTTCTATACGTACATGTACAGTGGACCTTCGAGTTTCGGCAGCCTCGACTTTCGTGAAATTCGACCTTCGGCGAATTTTTTTTGTCAAAATTTGGCCTTGAGTTTCGTGATTAGACTCGTGTTTCGGCGACTGTCCGGTACCCATCTGCCCGTCACCGTGCACACCAAGCCAGTCTCTGACGCCATTCACGCTCAGTGTGCCATTGTTTACCAACACGTGACCATCACCCCACGGGTTCATACGTAATAATCCATTGTTTTTGTGCTTGCAGCTGCTAAATAAATCATCATGGACCCAAGGAAAGCTAGTGCAAGCCCTTTGGTAAATAAAGTGAGGAACACGATCCAGAGGGATTTTGAAGGGTTTGAGGCAGACCCTGTCCCTGCTGACCCTCTGCCTGTTGTGGAAGGTGTTGTGGCATTGGGCAAGTCCATGGGGTTGGAGGTGAGTGACGGGGATGTGGAAGAGTTGGTGGAGGACCACAGGGAAGAGCTAACCACTGACGAACTGCAAGAGCTTCAACTGGAACAGCATCAGACCACAGCCGAGGAACTTGCTTCAGAGGAGGAGGAAGAGGGAGTGGATGAGGTGCCTTCTTCAAAGATTAAGGAGATTTGTGCCAAGTGGAATGAGTTGCAAAGTTTTGTTGAAAATTATCACCCTGACCAAGCTGAAACAAGCCATATCTGCAACATGTACAATGACAGTGTTGTGTCCCACTTCAGGAAAATCTTAAAGAAACGCCAGAAAAAAGACCACTCCGGACAGATATTTTGTGTGACGGGTCCAGTGACTCTCAAGTTGTTCCCAGTGGCATTAAAGGAAGAAGGGAAGTAACCCAGATAAGGACTTGCTACCTAAAGTCCTAATGGATAGCCCTTGTGGCTTAGTGCTTCTTTTTGATTATAATAATCTTCCAAACAATAGTGTACACCTTCCTCCTATCCCCTCCTTCCGTCTTCCATCCACCCAGAAGTCTTCAATAAAGGTAAGTGTAATGTTATTATTATTTTTTATATGCATATACTTGATTTCTCATAGATTTCGGTATATAAATCTTTATTTAATTTGAAAAAAAAAAAATTATTTTAATATTTTTGGGTGTCTGGAACGGATTAATTTTATTTCCATTATTTCTTATGGGGAAAATGGTTTCGAGTTTCATGAATTTCGACTTTCGGCAGACTCTAGGACGGATTAATCACGAAACTCGAGGGTCCACTGTATATACTTCTAAACTGTTGCATTCTGGGCACCTCTGCAAAAACAGTGATTATGTGTGAGTGAGGTGAAAGTGTTGAATGATGAAAGTATTTTCTTTTTGGGGATTTTCTTTCTTTTTGGGTCACCCTGACTGTACTGTACTTTTCATTTGTATATACAGTATTGTGTGTTTATATATACTGTATGTGCAATATAATTTTAGTATTGATAATGAGATGTGTCCAACACTTGGGGTTTCTATTCTCGGTAATAAAGTGATTCCAATGTTGCATGTGTATGTTATTCATCAGCCTGTTGGTATTGTATATCATCAATAATATGAATTTTAGTGTTACTCTTAGTTTACGTCTGCCCAAAATGTTGTGCATAACTATGGGGTTTTCGAGGTAAGAAATCTTCGTAACACAAGCGTCTTCTTGGAAGCAAATGATTATGCTTATGGTCAGAAATGTCTTTATTTGATGTTTTGTTTCTTCTCTCATAAATTGATCTTTGGTGAACTTAGTCCACTGTTTTATCTGGTAGGAAGAGGAATAATTTTGGAAGTACCGTAAAATACTGTAATTATGTTACAGTAGTTGTCAACAAATTCCTTTGTTCTTGTTAATTTTACCAACAACAGATATGAATGCTGTACTGTATTTTCTGTAGAATTAGAGAATTCCTAGTTATTACCTTTTTTACAAGTTATGTGGTATGTGGCACTAGTAAATTCGATAAAACCTTTGCAGTTAATTTTGACAAAGTAGCAAAATGTAACTGGCTCACGAAATCGTAATGACACGATTGCAAACAAACCATACCACGGGTGGGGATAGAACCCGCGATCAGAGAGTCTCAAAACACCAGACCGTCGCATTAGCCACTGGACCAGCTAGCCACAATAGTTGGGCGAATCTTATTGTGGCTAGCTGGTCCAGTGGCTAACACGACGGTCTGGAGTTTTGAGACTCTCTGATCGCAGGTTCTATCCTCGCCCGTGGTATGGTTTGTTAGCAAAATGTAATTTTCTTTATTGTTTCATTTCAGTATTGCCCAGTTTTCCTTGGCATATAAGGAATTTATAAATTCATATAAGGCTTGTATATAATAATGTAAATATTTAATTTAATAAGCATTTTATAGATATTTTGAAAGAAAAAACTGGTACAGACATAATATTCTGTGAAAGCAAAGGAAATTATTTGTTTATTAATGCTGTGCTTCATTGACCATGAAGTTTATGCCGGGAACTGCCTATTATCAGTTTTCAATGATGTTATCTTGAGGTGAGTAATGTAAAGAGATTACTTTTTTGTTCTTTGATAGCATTATAATTATTCTTCGGTGTTCTTTACAGTATTTTAATGGAATATTTTCACTACACATAGCTTCAAATAGATGTAGTTTTGATATGGTCTAACTGGTTTAAGTAGCTTAAATTAACGTGTTTTCTGTATTTCTAGGTGACTATACTTCATTCCAAGGTGTTTTTAACATTTTAAATATACAGCAAAGGTCCAATAAAATGGATCCTTCCCCCTAAAGCAGATGCCAGTTAAAACAGACAAAAAATCTGACTGGACAAAGGCTCAACATATATGTTTAATGGGGTGCCCAATTAAAATAGCCATAAAGGGGACCAAATCCACTATATTAAACAGCTTTCTGGTTCATTCATGAGTTCAATAAAAATGGATTAACTCTGCTTAATCACAGATTTGTATGGTCTAAGGTTTGTCTTGAATTTATCCACTTTCATTGTTCCTGGGCAGCAGGGCTAGTGACTGCCTGTATTATTAACAAGGGTCCTAAAGCAAGTGATGTACCAAGAAGAAGCACGTAATCTTAACTGTTAAACAGAAACATGAATTAATAAGGAAATTGGAGGGCTGGCATTTCAGTTGTCCGGGTGTGTGAGATGTATGGCTTAGCAAAACTGTGTCTGACATTCATAGCTACAAGGAAAAGCTTACACAATATGCTATGAAGTACAGTATAGATGCTAGCTCATAGGTTTTTCAGTAATTCCTAAGAAGCATTTGAAAGTGGTCTAAGATATAAGGGTTGAAGCAGCATTTCATAAATGGGTATGCTCAACAGCGTGCTTCTGGTATTAATGTTCGTTCTAAAGAATAAAGATTTTATTTCTTTGCAAATGTTACAATGTATAATTACAATTTTTATTTGTTAAGTACAAAGAAAGCCACTATCATGCTGGGGCATTTCAGGCAGAGTAATCCTAGTACATAATAACTACGAGATAAGAGTGGTTAACTTTTTAATATATCTTTATTTTATTTTAATACTAATGCAAGGTAGTCAAGGTGGAGGCTTATAAGAATAACGATCTTGAAGTTGAGCTTTCCTCTGCTGCTAAGAAGCTAGCAAGCCTTATGAAATAGAATTTGGGGCAAGTGATGGTTGGCTTTAGTGTTTCCATCAATGTTATCGCTTGATTACCAGAAAAACTGTGGCGAGCCTGGCAGTGCACCCACAGTAGTAATTGAGCCCTTCAGATTATTACTAAACGATCTGATGGAGAGTGAAGAGCTCCTTCTATCTCAATAATGCTGATGAAACTGGTCTGTTTTGACAGTCATTACCTTCCCACACTAGTCTTTCAGCATGATAAAAAGACACCAGGTTGTAAGCTCAGCAAAGACACTTGCAGTATTATGCTATGGTAATGCTGATGTCTCTGCAGTTATCTACATCTGTTTAACCATCTGCAATATTACTGCTGGAACTTGGCTGCTCCACTGGCTCAGAATAAGTTATTCTGGGTCACCACCTGACCACATGGGAATACTGTACGTACTGTATTGTATATATGTAAGCTCATCTAAGTACCAGAAAAATTAAGAAAAATTACTGTACTGTGCTCTGTTGTATTGTAATGTGCTGTTCTTTTAACCCATTTTCTTTCTGGCTTCACTTACAGGTATTGTACTCTATTGTACTGTACTGTGCTCTATTGTATTGTACTGTGCTGTTCTTTTAACCCATTTTCTTTCTGGCTTCATTTACAGGTATTGTACTCTAGTTAATTCTTAGTGTGTTCAGTAGCCCATCAATACAGTGGACTAAGTATGTTTTATTGAGTGTTTGTCCATATACTGTAGTTAATCAATAAAGCGGACTGCATCCGCATAATTGAAATGTTCAGTATGATGTAATTTTCAGTAAATTGGACACCACCTTTCCCTATTAGTCTGATTTTTACTGTTGTACCTTGTGAGCATGCAAATTTAGTACAAGTCTGTTGGGTATGGTATATGCTAGAGGTAAAGCATCTGAGCACTACTGTAAGTTGGGTTGTAAGAAAAGTTGGAAGGAAGAATAGGGAAGGAGAATGATGGGGTGATAAGAGAGAGGAAGGGAGGCAGGGCTAGAGAAAGAAAAATGTTAAGAGGAGTCATTTGTTACAAGATTACTTCAGAAAATTGTTTTTCATTTGTGGTGAACAATACTAGTATAAGAGAATACAGTTGTAGGATTCATGTATGTCTAGTTTTTTTCAATGTTCAGTTTTAGGATTTTGCAGGCTTGCTAAAAAAAACAACTTTGTGAGAAGATTGTGAAAATTGTAAAATCTGAAGCGTCGAGATAAGTTTAAAAGAATTGAAAATGGCAAAAGAATTCAAGCAAATAGCACTTTAATTTTTATTCTTTAGCTAAAAGATTATACATGACAGCACTTTTCAATCAATTTACATTTGTAAAAGCTTTGTCCCCTCAAGGGAGGTTCCTTGATACTGGTGAGGGGTTCATGCTCTAAGGAATTGGATCTGTGCTCCAGTTCCCAGAATTAAATCTGAATGCCTTCCATCCCTGCCCCCACACACACAGGTGCTGTATAACTTATGGGTTTAGTGCCCCCCATAATAATATTGTGAAAGTTTTGTAATTGTGTAAGTAGTCCTCATTCCAAAATCATGGAATTTACTGATGTTCTTAGATGGTACAGACTTTGCAGTGGTTGATGCCAGTAAGATTACATTATCATATTTCATACTTGTTATCTTGAACCTTTGCACTTGTGAAGTTAGCTTAGGTTAGTGTAATGGAAAGAAGAAGACTTTTCTTTATATACTGGACTTAAAAGACATTCCAGTTTTATCACTATTAGTTTTACATTTATTTTGTTTTATCTTTTAAGAAAAGATTAAAGCAAATTCTAAAACTGCTTCTTGTTTAGATAATGTGTATTGTTGTAGTTGCATATTTGTTTAAGGTATTGTTTCTGCACTAGTTATTGATTTACATCAAAAGACATAAAAATAGAGCCTGTGTAAGCACTCCTAAAACGAAAAGTTAAAAAAAAAAAAAAAAAAAATCATGAATTTTGCAATTCCCTCTTTTTCACTGTAATAATTTTAATTTAAATCTGTCAGATCCTCTAACAGCCAGCTTGTCAAAGGATGATGACACAGTTTCAGTAGGAGAGGATCCAATTAACAACCTCAGCACAGGTTAGAAATACAAGCTTCATGTTGCAGATGTTTATATATTATTAAAATGGTAAATTAATAGTTTGTGTAAATAAATTCAGGATAAACATAATGTAAATTTTAAGTGCTTTTAATCTGTTTTAAATAGAAGATCAGGGATTGAGAACTGTCATTGTGGTAACATTGTCCATTTGCTAACCTTTGCAAGGAGACCAAATCTTTTGTGCATCTGTTTATTTTTCCTTTATTAATACATTACTAGTCCCTACTTTGATGCAGACTCTCTTTGTCTTTTATAACAGAAACTAACTTATTGCACCAACTTTGATTTTATTTTACCTTTTGTGCACTCTCCACAAGCACCACTAACCCTTACCCTTTCACATGCCTGACCCTCACTTGTTCCTAACCTCCACATATTCCCCTTCTAGCACATCCTTTCCTGCAGCACTGTTTGACCCTTCTGGGTTTAGCACCTAGCCTGATTATATTATTATTGCAGTGAGGAACTAGATTGAGAAGTTTAACCTGTGGAACAGGTTTTTTCAGTCAGTACTCAGGGATGAACAACAAAGATAATTTTACAAGCATAGCCAGGTTAGTGACCATGTCAGTGAAGTTATGTGTGGATCAAGTGTGAAATAGGAACACTGCTAGTAGTCCGCCTGATTATCTGTTCATGTTAGATAAGTTGAGGTAAAGGTTTGTCTAAACTGAAAATTCCTTGGTTCTCTTGGAGTGTACTTTGTGTGCAAGTTAGTTCAGTTTCCAGGCATCTGTCATGTTTTGTCTATTTCCTTGATGGCCACATGGGCATTCTTTCAAGACATTAGGTGTGTGTGATCTTGTTCCCATTTATCATGCAGGTATTATTCATGTTGTGAGTCCTGCACACACATTAGCACTTGCAACCTGATCTGTAGGTTATGTGAAGCCTCTTCCATGCACTTCTGGGCACAACCGCCACGTGATATAATGTAGACACCTGCGTTGCCATGGTCTTGGTGGTTGTTTTTTTTGCCTTGTCAAGTCTTTGATGGTACTGTATGTGATTGTGGCAGATCCTGTGATTCTCTTGGTTAGACTACGTGTGATATATCTTGCACTCTTCCATACATTCTGGGCTATAGGATTTGCAGCCCAACATATATGGAGGAAGAGTGCAACATTCTTAAAGACATCCTTCAGATGATAAAATTTCCTGTGCAGATCATTTGAAGCTGCTGAGTCCATGCACGTAAAATCCTCACTTCGGTAAAAACTTCAGAACAGCATAGACATCATCCCTCCTACAGGCAGGATATATCACACCTGCCCTCACCAAGAGCAACATAGGTGTTGCTACCATTATATTCAACACCATCAGAAGACTTGACCAGGCAAAAAAAAAAAAAAAAAAAAAAGACAACAGCCATAACCATAGCAATGCATGTGTCTACATCATATATGGTGTAGCCTACAGATCAGGTTACAAGAGTACCAATAAGTGTGCAGGACTCTCAAAGTCAAGGGACAATTCCATGCATCTGATGTCTTGAAAGAATTTCCAGATAGTCATCAAGGACATGGATGAAGCACTAAGCAGATCCCTGAAAGCTGTGCTAATCAGTACAAAAAATGCACTTCAACAGAATCAAGGCATTTTCAGTTTAGTCAAACCTTTAGCCTGAATCATCTAACAAAAACATTGGAAAACATTGGAAAAAACTGGTAGGCCTCCTGCAGTGCCAAAGTCTTGCACTTCACTCACACAGTGACCTCAGTGACCCAGCCACTTGCCTGACCACACCTGTATAAAGATGCTAATTGTTCATCCCTGTGTATTTGAATGAAGAAGCCTGTTTCACAGGCAAAACATCCCAGTCAAGTTTCTGCAACTGCCTTTTTTTCCTCAGTACTAACTTCTGCTTTGTTGCAGTAGCTTAGCAGGTGTTGTATGACCCCTATGGATTTAATGCTTTCCCTATAACTATAATAATAATAATAATAATAATAATAATAATAATAATAATAATAAATAATAATTACAGTAGCTTAATAGACCTCGGTCATTAGCATTGTTTCTAAAGTATAACTGTTTTTGAGATTTTTTTTTTTTTTTTCATAATGCTGCAACAGCATTTTTATACTTTTTCCTCTTTCAAAAAATTGTGTATGAATACATACTAAAGCAAAAATATAATTCTTTCATTAGTAAACTGTTGTTGTGTTACTGTATATGTATGGAAAATGCATTCAGCAGTGTAATACACTCAGTCCGGTTAATTGTTAGGTGCCATATATTAAATCTTGTTTAATTTTTTTTTATAGCTTCTGCCAGTGAGAGATTAGGCATGCAGCATGAAGATCACTTCAGTGAAAATCAACCTCCACGAGTTCTTGGGGGTGGTCTACCCTATTGTGCTGAATGGGCAGAAATTTGCAAGTGTGCAGGAACGGAAGCAATACAGAACCTTGGTCGAGCTGGGGAAATGCGAGCCAGCAGATTTCGTTCTGTGTGTTGGATGATATATTTACAAATTTTGCCTGATGATCATACACAGGTACTGTGTTGTATTTTTATACATATATTCTATATTTCTTTTTTAATTGAAAATTTGTTTAAGCTAGATGCTGAGAACCTTTCTTTGGAATCTATTGCAGTTTATATTCCAGCAGTCTAAATCTATGGAAAATGTGATATGTTTACAAGACAAGACATTTTCAGTAACTTTTAAACTGGGCATAGTGGATATCCTTGTATACAGTACATCTGTGTGGGCAACCAGTTACAATCATCCCTTGCTTAACCCTTTCAGGGTCCAAGGCCCAAATCTGGAGTCACGCACCAGTGTCCAAGAATTTAAAAAAAAAAAAATTGTTATTTTTTCTTATGAAATCGTAGAGAATCTTTTTGTGAAGGTAATAAAACAAAAAGTACGAAATTTGGTGGAAAATTGACGAAATTATGCTCTTGCGAATTTTGATGTGTCAGCGATATTTACGAATCGGCGATTTTGCTGACTTTGACTCCCATTTTAGGCCAATTACATTATTCCAATCAACCAAATTCTTAGCTATTTCACTAGTATTACTTCTATTCTATCGATTGAGCACAAGAAATCGCCAAGTCAACTGTTTCAACTACAAAATAAAGTGATCGGAAATTGTTAATTTGGCCAATTTAACACAAAGTTCAAAATATTCCAATTTCAAAATAGGGTCCAGAATGAACAATATAGGCATTCCTGGCACTAAACTAACATTTCCTCTGTTCATTAGTTATGTTTTGAGGCTTTACAAATAAATTCCATTTTGATTTTTTATTCACATAATGAATTTTTATTCACACCAAAAAATAGAAGATTTACTGCTATGCAATACTGTAATAATTGTATAAATATCATCACCATATTTGTGAAGGTATATTAGACCCACCAGCTGACGTGTATTAGACGTGTGAGGTCGTTTGTTTACTCTTGAATATCGGCAAAAATTTAACATTTCTGCTACTTTGAGCTCAGTTTCAAGCCATTTCCAGTGCTAAAACCAATCAAAATCATCTCTATTTCTGTAATATGTCTTCCATTCTATCAAATGAGACCAAGAAATCGCAAATACAACTATAAAAAACATACGAAAAAACACTGCAAAGTTGCTGTTTTAATCGAAAAATCATGATTTCATTTTTTTTCTCATTATACACAGTGTGCTGCAGGATCTGTTTTATGTGGTGCACACATACCACATAGATGTATTCTCTCATATCTAGGCCCAAATGTACCACTCACAGTTTATCAGAGTGAGCTGAGCTCATGGCGTAGATCTACGGTTTGGACCCTGAACGTAAAGCCGTAGATCTACGGGACGGACCCTGAAAGGGTTAAAGACCATGTTAAAGACTGGAAGAATAGTTCTTAAGTGAAAAATTATGGTAGATCTACAGTACCACCACTGATCCCAATGACATAGCTCTACAGCACCATCACGGATTCCAATGACATAAGTTTATGGTAGATCTACAGTACCACCACTGATCCCAGTGACATAGATCTACAGCACCACCACAGATTCCAATGACATAGGTTTACAGCACCACCATTGATCCTAATGACATAGATCTACAGCACCACCACTGATCCCAATGACATAGATCTACAGCACCACCACTGATCTCAATCATAATAATAATAATAATAATATAATAATAATAATAATAATAATAATAATAATAATAATAATAATAAGGGCAATGTGCGGTGTAAATATTATGCAGAGAATTCGAAGTGTGGAAATTAGGAGGTGTGGAGTTAATAAAAGTATTAGTCATAGGGCTGAAGAGGGGTTGTTGAGGTGATTTGGTCATTTAGAGAAAATGGATCAAAGTAGAATGACATGGAGGACGTATAAATCTGTAGGGGAAGGAAGGGGGGGCAGGGATCATCCTCAAAATGGTTGGAGGGAGGGGGTAAAGGAGGTTTTATGGGTGAGGGGCTTGGACTTCCAGCAAGCGAGCATGAGCATGTTAGATAGGAGTGAATGGAGATGAATGGTTGTTGGGACCTGATGAGTTATTGGAGTGTGAGCAGGGTAATATTTAGTGAAGGGATTCAGGGAAACCGGTTATTTTCATATAGTCGGACTTGAGTCCTGGAAATGGGAAGTACAATGCCTGCACTTTAAAGGAGTGGTTTGGGATATTGGCAGTTTGGAGGGATATGTTGTGTATCTTTATACGTATATGCTTCTAAACTGTTGTATTCTGAGCACCTCTGCAAAAACAGTGATAATGTGTGAGTGTGGTGAAAGTGTTGAATGATGATGAAAGTATTTTCTTTTTGGGGATTTTCTTTCTTTTTTGGGTCACCCTGCCTCGGTGGGAGACGACCGACTTGTTGAAAAAAAAAAAAAAGTACAGTTTTACAATTTACAATATGAAGTATTACAATTTAGTACATTTGAAAACAATGAGAGTGAAACACTTATAAGTTTGAAGTAGTGAGTAAATGGTTGAGCAATCATCAGCAATATGCAATAATGATATTGCAACAATTTTAAGTTTGAAGTAGATTATCAAATCATTGGGCAGTCTTACATTATTTAGAAACTTCAGTAACTGGTAGGTATTAAGTAAAGTGCTTGTCTGTTTAATTTTGGGTGATGAAGTGATTTCTAAGTAGGGCCTTAAATTGATTTGCAGGCAAGGGTCCTTTAGTGTGTTCTGGCAATGAATTCCAGATCTTCGGGCCCTTTACGTGCATAACATTTTTGCATAGGGAGAGATGGACATGTGGGATATCGAAGAATGATTTGTCTTGTATTATGGCTCTCTCTCTTGTATTTTGCTGTCTAGTGCAGGAATTAGTATTCATTGCACTGCAGCTTTTTGTTGTGTTATTAAAGATTTAAGGTAATTTGCAGTGGTTGAGCCCCATTCACAGATACCATAGGTGAGGTAAGGGTAAATGAGTGGTAAAGATCAAGAAGAGCAGCACCACCACTGATCCCAATGACATAGAGCTACAGCACCACTACTGATCCCATTGCTGTAGACCTACAGCAATGCTACTGATCCCATTGATGTAGATTTACAGTACCACCACTGATCCCACTTCATTCATTCATTCATTAGAGATTTGCCGGTACTTCAGGCCCGGGTCTTCTCCAGATGGTGACCGGGTGGGGGTGTCATTTGTCTTCTTCATTCTTCTATCTTCTATCTTGGGCCTTCCGGTTGGAAGGTAACTTCTTCTTCTATCTTGCATTGACTCCCCAAGTGGGAAGTGTCTTCACGCTTGGCATCTTCAGTGTCACAGTTGGGCAGAGGCAGAAATCAGGGCTCATTGGAGCCACACCCCAGCTTTAGCAGACAGCAAAGTGCTGGGGAACTTGTCTTGATAGTAGTGCTAGTGGGGGGTACCCTCTTCACGAGTCCGATTCGGAGGTATCAGCCTGTTCTTCAGTGTGGCATGGTTGAGTCCAGCGCTGCGGAGGGTGGTATAGACACGTTTGGCCAGTTCTTCAATGTTGGGTGACACGATTTCGTCCAGGAGGTCTTGATCACGCTCTGGAGTTCGCGTTTGGTTCTTCTTCTGGTTGGTTGTGCATTGTCCACCATTCTTGACCTTGGCTTCTTGTTGTGGTGGGGCAGTAGTATTGGTATGGGGAGTTGCAACCCTTGGTTCTTGAGTTTTAGCTTTCTTGGCTGGCAGTTGAACTGTGAGAGGCAAGGCCTCTGCTCGTACAGTTGCGGTGACGGTGGAGGCAGGCGGTGGTGGACTCTCATTGGTGGGATTTGTCGACATCTCAGTGGTCTCTGAGTGGTCCATCTCTGTGTCGAGTGGAGGTTGTGTCTGGTGGAGCAACGGTTATGCTGGCAATATTTGCAGTGGTTTGTAGGATCTCAGTGGAAGGTGGTGATGCAGGGAATGTGAGGCCAGGTATGTTGTTTAGTTTGAAAAGTTCGTTGATGGTGGTGTTGAAGGAGCCAGGCTCAGCTGCATTTTGTACATGAGCATACATGATGCAATAAAGAATCTTGGTGGAGTCAGCAGCAGGTGCTGGGAGGAAAGTGGTGGGAGCAGCTTGTGTGGCTTGTAGTATCTTGGTAGTGTCTGCTTGAAGCTTGGCAATAGCAGAATATGTGGGTGCTTGTGGGTTGGACTTCTTTGTTGTTGTTGTTTCTTGAGTATGTCCCTTCTGATAGGGCACCTGGCAGCAAGAGTATGGTGGTCATTCTTGCAGTTCAAGCATTTCGGTGGGGAAGCAGTAGTGCAATTCTTGAAGTCATGACCCTCAAGGCCACAGGTGGAGCAGTACTTCTTGTCTTTGGCAGGGCAGTCTTTGGTGATATGCTGGTATGAGTAACATTTATAGCACTGAGGGATTTGTTGGTATTTTTCTGCTTCGATGAAGGCTGGATTGATATGGAAGCAGTGAATCGCCAGGCCCGCTGAGGGCTCTGGCAGCCACGTTGACGTCACTGAAGGTGACCTTCAGCATGGAGGAGGCGTTGGGTATCTTGGTAAGAAATTCCACCTTGGCCCAGGGATTCTTTGCTTCGACGGACAACTTGATCTCTTCAGCAGCCAGTGCAGTGATGAGTCTGTCGAGTCTCTTGAGGAACACAGTTCTCCTGGCCCTCAGTGCTGGGGAAGTCAGTACAGAGAATCCATATTCTCGTAGAGTGGTCATAGCAGTAGTGGTGAGCAGTTTCTCCGCCTCGGTGTCCTCAGTGCGGACACAACGAAGGCCTCTCTGAGTGATAAGATCACATTACATTTAACCTGCAGTCTGTCGTTAACGACAAATGCAAGTGCTAGCTTAGATGAGTTGTTGATTGTTCCACTCGCTGGTTTGATCTTTACTCTATTAGAGTAATACATCGTGAGTAGGCAGTGTTTCCCTCCCCAACGGGGATCGTAGGGATGTACTCGCGGTAGAGGCATTGTTGATTGGTCAACGCGGTGACCAATCACAGAGGCGCTCAGGCCTCGGCTAGCTCGCCGGCCGGTGCTACATGCACGTCCACACCGTCGGCTGGCTGCTACTCAAATGTCTACGTCTGCTGCTGCTGCTCTCTCTCTCTCTCTCTCGGCGCGAGAGTCACTCTGAACACTGAGCGATCCACTCTGAACACTGAGCGCACCATCCCAGGCGGCTGACCTAGGTCGGGAGCATGACCTGATCTGAGCTGGCTGAGGTCAGACCTTCCTCTCCTGTGGTCTCTCTCTCACTAATCCCACTGATGTAGATCTACAAAAACTATGAGCTCAGTGGTTAATAGAAGTTTATTTATTTACATGCACTTCCTTCTAATTATTTGCCCCTCAAGGGAGGTTCCTTTATGCTGGTGATGGGCTCTTGATCTATGGAATTGCATCTGTGCTCCGTTTCCCTGAATTGAGCCAGAATACCTTCCATCCCACCCCCTACGTGCGATGTATAATCCTACCGGTTTAGCACTCCCCCATTACTATAATAATAATTCTAATTATTTGCCGTTTTGGATCTTTGGAATTTTTCTGGAAAATTGATTAAGACAGAGATGTGAATAGGGAATTAAAGATAATAGTGTGGCTGTTCATCTGTGTTTTTGCAGTGGTTAAAGGTGATCAGGCAGGAACGTGAGAAATATGACACTGTTAGATTGCAACTGATGGTGACTCCAGGCCTTGGTGATGAATCTCTTGATCCATTACTCAACAATCCACTCTCACAACATGAACAGGTGAGCTCATACATTAAGTATCATTCATGATTTATTTTGTTTTTATATACGTATATAATTATATATATATATTGATCACACTCCAATAGCTCATCAGGTCCCAAAAATCATTTGTCTCCACTTGCTCCTATCTAACATGCTCACACATGACTGCTGTATGTCTAAGCCTCTTGTATACAAAACCTCCTTTATCCCTTCCCTCCATCCTTCCTAGGATGACCCCTACCCCGCCTTTCCACCACTACAAATTTATACACCCTCCATATACATTTTTTTTTTCCACTAAGTTAGCAGTCTCCCACCGAGGCTGGGTGACCCAAAAAAGAAAATACTTTCATCATCATTCAACACTTTAACCTCACTTATACATAATGATTGTCTTTGCAGAGGTGCTCAGATATGACAGCTTAGAAGTCCCTCCAAGCTGTCAATATCCCAAACCCCTCCTTTAAAGTGCAGGCATTGTACTTCCCTTTTCCAGGACTCAAGCCCGGCTAACTGGTTTCCTTAAATCCCTTCACTAAATATTACCCTGCTCACACTCCAACAGCTTGTCAGCTCCCAAAAACCATTCGTCTCCATTCACTCCTATTTAACCCTTAAACTGTCCAAACGTCGATCTACGTTTGCGCACGTAATGCTCCGACCTTGATTTTCTCCATAAGAAAATGTAAAAAAAAGTAGATCTACGTTTGGAGCACTCCGAGTTCTCTGCATGATATTTACACCACACATTGCCCTTAGACATGACATCTCCACTGCCTCCAGCCGCCTACTCGCTGCAGCATTTATAACCGAAGCTTCACACCCATATAAGAGTGTTGGTACCACTATACTTTTGTACATTCCCTTCCTTGCCTCCATAGATAACGTTATTTGTCTCCACAGATACCTCAACGCACCAGTCGCCTTTTTTCCTTCATCAATTTTGTGGTTAATCTCATCCTTCATAAACCCATCCGCTGACAAGTCAGCTCCCAAATATCTGAAGACATTCACTTCTTCCATACTCCCTTTCTCTGATATGACATCCAGTTTTTCTTTATCTAAATCGTTTGATACCCTCATCACCTTACTCTTATCTATGTTCACTTTCAACTTTCTACCTTTACACACCCTCCCAAACTCCGTCCACTAACCTTTGCAACTTTTCTTTAGAATCACCCATAAGCACAGTATCATCAGTAAAAAGTAACTGTGTCAACTCCCATTTTGTATTTTATTCCCCATAATTTAATCCCACCGCTTTCCCCAACACCCTAGCATTTACTTTTGCAACCCCATCTATAAATATATTAAATAACCATGGTGACATTACACATCCCTGTCTAAGAGCAACTTTTACTGAGAAGTAATCTCTCCTCCATATACGTATATAAATTAATAATTAATTAATTAAATAAATACCGTACCTGTCACACTGTATGTTGTCTCCAACAAAGTTCCAAGAAGGACCAGGCTTGAATCTTTCACCACTAAGACACACAGGTACATCAGTATAGTAGTTTAGTTTTAAAAATGGTAATCTGCATTTCTTGAAATACCAGAGCCCCTGGAATCAGTATTTTGAGGATTCAGAGTTGAAGAAACTCATCAAGCAAGATGTGATAAGGACATTTCCGGAAGTGGAATTTTTCCAGTCTCCTCGTATTAGAGACCTTATGGTTACTGTGCTTTTTTGCTATGCAAGGCAGCATCCAGATATAGATTACAGACAGGTAAGTAAAACTCTACTAATAAATGTTTTAAAAGATGTAACTCAATATATTCTTTTGCTTTCTTGCAACACTGAAATCTCAGTATTTTAAAGGGGTTATACTGTAAATTAATTTTTTGTTGACTTTTTGTGCACAGGGAATGCATGAAGTCCTTGCGCCTTTAATATTTGTGCTCCACTGTGACCACCAAGCTTACCAGCATGCTCAAGAAATAGACTCAACACCGTAAGTACCTCTAAATTAGAGATGCTGTTTTACTAATGCTTGCTGTATGCTCTTTTTACATACTTCATCTTCATGTGCTTGTGGACATGTGCTGAAATAGTGTTTTCTACTGGTCTTTCACAGAGATATTTGCCAATTCTCTGTTTAGTGATTCCAAGAAAGGATGAGTTTAGCACTTTCTTGTGAATATAATATTTAAGTAGGAAAGGATGAAAATGTATTTAATATAAATGTTCTGAACCCAGTTGGAAGAATGAGTGTTATTGGAAATCATGACTACAATAAATTACTGTCTAGAGGTCTATACAAAGAAAAAATGCAGGTTGGCTTATTGTAGAGGAAGATACATTGAATTAAAGCAGCACTTTAAGATAACTGGAACCAGTTGTTGGGGGGGGGGGATAAATAAATAGCATAACATTTTAGATATTACACAGGGTATGAGAATGGTATGAAACAGTTCACCTCAGAAATTAGTGATGGCTTACATAAGAAAAAATGGTTAAATAAAAGGCACTGGAAAGCTGTATATAAGATAAAGCTTGAGGTAAAACAAAAGAACACCCTACCTACTGTATTTGATTTAATTATTCCTCTTGGCTGTTTGTTCCATTTATCTAAAACTTGCTAAGTCATTGCTTTCCTATACTCTTTCTGACTGAATTTATCCAGTACATATACAGTGGTATCTCAAGTTATGAACTTAATTCATTCCAGAAGGCTGTTCGAGTGCTGATACCGAACGAATTTATTCCCATAAGGAATAACGTACATAATTGTTCGAGTTGGGAGCTGTTTGAAACTCGAGGTGCCACTGTAATCTATTTTTGTGAGTTCTGGTTTGGCTAAATATTTTTAGAATTTTATATCTCCTTTATTTATACCTGTCAGCAATTTGTCCACTTCATTTGTATATCCTCTTATTGTACACCTTGCAAGTTAGTGCGAGTTAAGTGCTATCTGTCTGAATAAGAAAGATTCCTGATACAAGGTATTAGCTTTATAATTCTTCTCTGTATGTTTTTCAGTACTGGTAGTAGGGACAGACCTTCTGCATAATCTAAATGAGGCCTTAAAATTGATTCAGCATGTAGTGTTGTAATCAAATTCTTCATTATTGTTCATATTACAACCAGAAAATTCAGGTAACTGTTTTCCCTAATTCTGAGCATTTTTTTCATTAGGGTATCTCTTGGAGTATTGCAGTAGAGAGAGGGCATTTGGTATCAGTATCAGAATTTTTATTGGTATCTTCCCATCCCTAATTTCTATACATACTAGGAAGGTTAACATGGACCCATTGTGACCATAAATGTAGATTTATCTAAAAATTCTGCATTTGTGGACACAGTGGGACTGCTGCTAACCTTAATAGTGTGTTTAGAAATATACCTAGTTGGTTGGGTCTCATTAAACTGGCATGGTACAGTGGATAATGCACTGTGCTGCTAGTTTTAGGACTGGCTTGCCATGGGATTGAGCCTTTTGTTCAGCGAGATGTTTACAATATTATTACTATTCTTTGAGTCTTTCATGTGGCTTGTTTTTACTTTTTCTTCTTTCCTATATGTGGCACTTGCTCACATTAAATTCCACATTAAAATCCACATGTTCATATAGGTTTTATTCCTCCTGGCAAATCATTTATATAAGCTACAAACATTACCAGGACATGTTTGACCCTTGCAGCACCGTGCTGGTAACATGAGAAGGTTTTGTCTTTTATCACTGGTTACATCTTAAACTCACACTCAAAATATCTCATCTGCTTTAATAGTTTCCTTGTATTTCTCTTATGATTGTAGATTCCAGATTAGCCTTTCATAAGCAGCTCGATAGAAAACTTTCCTAAAATTAAGTTCTTTTCATGTTCCCATCCATTTATTTGGGGATGGTCATTATAATTTAGTAGATTTGATATACAGGAGCTTACTGATTGAACACCAAACAGTTTTCTGATTGACAGTCTTTTGCTCTCCAGAGTTTTTTTTTTTCCAGTTTTCTCTAATGGCTTTTTTCAGTATTTTCACAATGCTTTTCAATAAGACATGCCTGTGTGTGCCATTTTTTACTTTGTTCAAAAGTTTGCTGCCCTAACTGAACATCTGCTGTGTTGTATAGATAATAAAGAGCACTGTCTTGACAGTTGCTGCTGTGTGCTGCAAGAGAGAGTTGGTAAGGCAAAACAAAGTCATTAAATATTACACTTAATAAGTCAAACAAATATTTCTCTCTATATCTGGCAAATATTTGGGACTTGATTTTCTACTTGCGTGCCAAATTTTTTTTTGAAGTTACTTTTGTTCAAAAAAAATACTGTGATTTATACTGATGTAAAATATATACAATAGTGTTTTCACATCTTAATACAGGCAGTGTTGTATTTGAAAGTAGAAGTAATAGTAGGTTGGCAAATGTTGCAGAGTTCTCATTAATGTTGAGACTTAACTCTGTTAATCTTAACAAATTTAATTAAATTCATTGTGGAGCTTGAAAATGTAAAGAGTCTCTGTGGCCTTCGCTTCAGTTTGCTGTATTTTCCTGCTTTCCACTGTGCAGTTTGACCGGGTATCAGCTGTGAGTACCCTACTCTTGTTGCCACACGTTGCTTTACTGCACTAGGAAATTAAGTCACCTGACATATCACTTCCTGCATTATGACTGTATCTTTTATGGGCTTAATTGTTAAGTGTAATTTGCTCCTCAGATCGGCTTAGTATGTGTTTGAAAGGAATGTTAATTTTAAGATATTCACCTTGATTTTACAATTTAAACATTTAAGAAAGCACATTCAGTATAAAATTGATGTCACCGATGAATACCTTACACTTAACTTTAGTCAAATAATTATTAATGGTGATAAAGGGCTGTTAGAAATATTATGTAGCAGATATTTAAGTATAGGTAGAGGTCAATAATGCTTGAATGTTTATTTTTGCTATGTATTTAACATTTATTTAAATTTTTATACTTAATATTTTTGAACAGTCACCTCAGATCTGTCATTGTTACAAATGTTAATGTCTCTAATGTTTGAGTAAACTTATAATATACAGTGTTATAGTTTTTAGCATAAAAAGTTACATGTTTGTCCTGTAATTATTGTGAAAGGATTTTCATTACATTTTTAAAACTCTTAATTAATCTTAAAACTTTTCTAGGAAATTAATTTCAAGTACTTTGAAGTATTGTACATTAGTCTTTGCTGTAATGTCTACATTGTCTTACCCATGCATGAATATATTAATAAAACTAACAACTCTCATAAATTGTTTAGGAATTGTGAAAAAAGTAACATGATTTTTTTAATGTACATTACTTTTACAACTGCATCTTGAGATTTAAATGTTGTTCGAACTTTTATAATGGTGGTTCATGTTGATCTACCCATTGTTATGTAATTTTTTCATTGTCTGAACTATTGATATTTTTTCTTTTCCAGAAATGTTCTACAAGAATTAATGGATGAGGCTTATCTTGAGCATGATGCCTAGTGAGTAAATATTTAATACAGGTACCATCTGACTTACGACCAAGCTTGGTTCCGACCAACTGATCATAAGTCAAAATGGATGTAAGTCGAACCTTACTATTGAATATCAACATCACATTTTTGTAATGATTTTATTTTAATGTTTTATTTTAGTATTTCCTTTTTTACTTTTTATGCTGTTAGTACTGTATTTCATACTGTAAGGTTTAGGATAAACACACTGTACAACACAAACAGTTGTTTATTTCCCAGATATTTGGTATACTAAATACGGTCGCAAGTCGAGTGTTCGTATGTCGAGCAGGTCGTAAGTCGGATGGTAGGTGTACCGTTTTTTTTAATAACATTTTTTAATTTTTATGAGCCATACAGAAGTTACAGTAGGTACACACAATTTGGTACTTAATTTGGTGCAAATGCAGGTACAGAAGAAATCAACTAATTATGCAGTGCAGTTTAGGCAAACTAGTCATAAAGCTTACTTACTACCAGTAGCAGCTCATAGCTAAAATTAATGAAGGTGCTGCTTCAAAAAATTTTTAGCCATTGTTTTAATATTGTGTAAAATAAAAGAACCGATAAAAAACTATGAATTAAATAAAATAGCTGGAAGCCTGATATTCATCTAGTTCTACACTTATCAAATTCAAGAATGTGGTACATGGTTTTTAAGCACAACACACACTGCTGAGTAAAAAAGAAACACTACCTTACACTTGTACAACAGGGTCAGCACTGCGTCAGCGACAGTGCTCTCTCTACCTAGCGTGCAGTGTCTTAACTAGGACATGTGCGCATGCCCACAACAGCCAAACACTGAGTTGCTGGAACTGTGAAGCGCACAGTTCTATACAAGAATTTTTGTAATTTTTCATATACTAGGGGATGGCTACTGACATTAAGCTTAAGGATTATATAATGTACAAGTATAAAGAAAGAATTAAAGAAAAAAAAAGACTCTATATTGAATGTTATTGACAATATCGAGTAAAAACAGGGGGTGCTGCAGTTCTGCAGTGCCTTTACATGAGCCGCCACTGCTTACTACTAAACTTTAGACCTAGCATGATACATAAGACATTTGAGTGTTAGAATAGCTTGTGTAATTCACTACAATCACAAGTACAATGAGACAGGTTGCAAATGATAAATTAGTCAAGTACAAATTAATTACACATAAAATTTACATCAGTTCAATGATCTCCATTTTATGGAGTGATTGAATTAAGATGGTGGAATTAAAACATGGAATTTACATACAGTTAAAACTTTCAAGGTTGTGACCCCTGCCCTCAGACTTGCTCACAGGATTTCAAAATTAAAAAAAAAAAAAAAAATCTTAAGGAATGATAGAGAATCTTTTTTTCAAAGGTAATGAAACCAAAAGTATGAAATATGATGGAAAACTTACAGAATTTAGCTTTTGCAAAGTTAGCGGTCTTAGTGATATTTATGCATCGGTGATTTTGCCCACTTTGAGTCCTATTTTTGGTATCTTCGGCCAATTCCATTTTTCCAGTCGACTAAACTCATAGCTATTTCACTAGTATTCCTTCTGTTCTATCGATTGAGTACAAGAAACTGCCCATTTATCTATTTCAGCTACTCAATAAAGTGATCAGAAATTGGTAATTTGGCCAGTTTCACACAAAATTAAAAAATTACCAGTTTGAAAATAGGGTCCAGAATAAACAATGTAGACATTCTTGGCACTAAAAAAACATTTTCTCTGTTCCTTAGTCACATCTCCAGGCCCCTCTTATATTATGTTTGCTTTCTATTTTGAATTTTTATTCACACAAACAATAGAAGATTACTGTTATGCAGACTACTGCATTATTGTAATACAGTGGAACCTCTACTTGCGAGTGCATCCACGTGCGAGTTTTTCCAAATATGAGCAGTTGTTGGGTCGATTTTTTGTTTCCATAAGCATGCAGACCTCAAGGACCTCAAGGCAGGTTCCTTGACGCTGGTGAGGGGCTCTTGCTCTTGATCTAGGGAATTGTATCTCATTTGTTTGTTGGACTATCTTATTGAAACTTGGGCAATGTATGATGGAAAGATGCTTCTTAACGTACACCAAAAATGAAAGAAATCTAAGCATAAATAATTGAGTTCACTTCTCAGCAATTAGCTACCCCTTAGCGGTATTTTCGTATGGTTTTAATGGTTGTATTCTCGTTTTTTTTTATCTCATTTAATAGAATGGAAGATATATTACAGAAATAGATATGATTTTGATTGCTTTCATGATGAAAAGTACGTACCTTGAAATTGAGCTCAACACAGGAGAAATGTTCAATTGTTTTGGCTATGTTCAAAAGTAAACAAATGACGTATGTCACTGTCCATTCCAGTATGCAGTTGTGAATGGGTTGACATTATTTATACAGTTATTGCAATAAGGCATAACAGTAAACCTTATATTTTTTGTGTGAATAAAAAACAAATTATATATATTGTAATAATTAATAGTAATATTTTTTTTTTTTAACAAGTCGGCCGTCTCCCACTAAGGCAGGGTGACCCAAAAAGAAAGAAAATCCCCAAAATGAAAATACTTTCATCATCATTCAACCCTTTCACCTCACTCACACATAATCACTGTTTTTGCAGAGGTACTCAGAACACGACAGTTTAGAAGCATATACGTATAAAGAGAGAGAACATATTCCTCCAAACTGCTAATATCCCGAAACCCCTCCTTTAAAGTGCAGGCATTGTACTTCCCATTTCCAGGACTCAAGTCCGGCTATATAAAAATAACCAGTTTCCCTGAATCCCTTCACTAAATATTACCCTGCTCACACTCCAACAGATCGTCAGGTCCCAAGTACCATTTCTCTCCATTCACTCCTATCTAACACGCTCACGCACGCTTGCTGGAAGTCCAAGCCCCTTGCCCACAAAACCTCCTTTACCCCCTCTCTCCAACCCTTTTGAGGACGACCCCTACCTCACCTTCCTTCCCCTATAGATTTATATGCTTTCCATGTCATTCTACTTTGATCCATTCTCTCTAAATGACCAAACCACCTCAACAACCCCTCTTCTGCCCTCTGACTAATACATTTATTAACTACACACCTTTTCCTAATTTCCACACTCCGAATTTTCTGCATAATATTTACACCACACATTGCCCTTAGACAGGACATCTCCACTGCCTCCAACCGTCTCCTCGCTGCTGCATTTACCACCCAAGCTTCACACCCATATAAGAGTGTTGGTACTACTATACTTTCATACATTCCCTTCTTTGCCTCCATAGATAACGTTTTTTGACTCCACATATACCTCAATGCACCACTCACCTTTTTTCCCTCATCAGTTCTATGATTAACCTCATCCTTCATAAATCCATCCGCCGACACGTCAACTCCCAAGTATCTGAAAACATTTACTTCTTCCATACTCCTTCGCCCCAATTTGATATCCAATTTTTCTTTATCTAAATCATTTGATACCCTCATCACCTTACTCTTTTCTATGTTCACTTTCAACTTTCTACCTTTACACACATTCCCAAACTCATCCACTAACCTTTGCAATTTTTCTTTAGAATCTCCCATAAGCAGAGTATCATCAGCAAAAAGTAACTGTGTTAATTCCCAATTTGAATTTGATTCCCCATAATTTAATCCCACCCCTCTCCCGAATACCCTAGCATTTACTTCTTTTACAACCCCATCTATAAATATATTAAACAACCATGGTGACATTACACATCCCTGTCTAAGACCTACTTTTACCGGGAAGTAGTCTCCCTCTCTTCTACACACCCTAACTTGAGCCTCACTATCCTCATAAAAACTCTTTACACCATTTAGTAACTTACCACCTATTCCATATACTTGCAACATCTGCCACATTGCTCCTCTATCCACTCTATCATATGCCTTTTCTAAATCCATAAATGCAATAAAAACTTCCCTACCTTTATCTAAATACAGCAGGGCCCCGCTTTACGGCGTTTCACTTTACGGCGTTCCGCTAATACGGACATTTCAAATTATGACCAAAACTCGCTATACGGCTCCCCCCACCTGTCTTTCTAATACGGTCACAGCGGCCCACCGAGTTTGTTTACATTCTCCCTGAGCACATCTCCTTATTATGTTTGGAAACTTTCCAAAATTTCAAGTGTTTTAAAATTATTGTATATTTTATATGTATTTTACTTGATAATTAAACTTGTGTACACCTGTACCTAAATAAACTTACACACTGTGCTGGCATGTAGGTGCACATTAAAATCACTAAGAGTCTCTCTACTCTTGATGCAATAATAATAATAATAATAATAGTAATAATAATAATCTCTTGGGCGCATTAATGTCGCATATCACGTTAATATAGACATTTCCCTTAATCTATCTATGATATTTTTTTCAAAATTATATAAGAAACACATTATGTAACACACAAACATGATACATGCACCCACAGTATAAAAATGTATACAAATATATATGAGATGTTTACCAAACGGTTTGTAGAAGTGTCGGAAGAATTACGTTTTCTCTAGCCCGTCACCTGTTACTAGGGATAACTGTAGAAAAATATTCCTTTCGTATGCCTTCACTTAATAGCTATAATTCTGTACTAACTTGTACACAGTGTAAGAGTATTTGTTTCGTGATTTAATTATTATAATAATAATAAAAATATTATAAGGTAAAAGTTTCACAAACTCTTACAAATGTACATGAATTAATTAAAACTGGACACGTATTAATACCGTCTATTTCGCCTGACCGAGTGATCGTCCACAACCTGTTCAGTTTGTTTGTTTACGCTGTCTGAGCTCGGTGTATCATTAAATGTTGTATATTACGTTAATATACACATTTTCATTAATCCATCCGTGATATTTTTTTCAAAATTATATAATAAACACGATACATAACATAAATACATAACATATGTGTAGAGAACCTAGGATAACCCAAAAAACCCAGAGTGACTTAATTCCATTGCCTTCACTCAGAGCATCA